GATGGATGGATGGATGGATGAATGGATAAATGGATAAATAGATAGATAGATAGATAGATAGATAGATAGATAGATAGATAAATAGATAGATAAATAGATAGATAGATAGATAGATAGATAGATAGATAGATAGATAGATAAATAGATAGATATATAGATAGATAGATAGATAGATAGATAGATAGATAGATAGATAGATAGATAGATAGATAGATAGATAGATGCCAGACACATCACGATCTTTTTCTAATTTTGTTTTACAGCACACAAGATATGAGAGTTCTCTTATTACTGGTGTATGTGGCGCTAGCCTCATGCGACGACTCCGCCACTGAGAAGTACGTATTCAGTCGCGAGGGCGGATATCTGGGACACAGGAACATTGATGGATACCTAAGTCCCGAGGCTGCCCGCCGCACCGTCTACCACCTCCCTGTTTCGAGACGCACGCTAGTAGCACGTACGGCTACGGGCAGAGGTATCTCGACACCGGCTCTACGTCACGCGCAGAGCGACCTCGCTGCTGCTCGCGACGTCTATAGTAGTGGTCGTGCTCGCGTACCTGTGTACGCTCCGTCCTATCGATACACCCCGCGGAAGGACATTTTCGTTCCCGCTCGACGGGTGGTGCTCGTGAAAACCGCAGAGCCATCTAGCGAGCTGTACGTACGGGCACGAGCGCCCATAGCCCATCTGGCCCGAGCGCCCGTAGCCCCTCTGGCCCGAGCGCCCGTAGCCCCTCTGGCCCGAGCGCCCGTAGCCCCTCTGGCCCGAGCGCCGAGCACCCCGCTTCAAGCCGCCTCGGTCCACGCTGCACCGGGTTACCTGACGACTGTCGCGTACGGGCCTGAGGTGTCGGGCCATGCTAGTGGCGGCGGGCACAGGGAAGCGAGCAGCGCCATTAACCGGAGCGGAAAAGCTTCTGGAAAACTCTACGCGCAGGACAAGGCGGCAGCGAGAGAGGGCGCTTCGAAGCAGCGAGGATACGAGTATACTTACAAGTAGGTGACTTCATTGTGCCATCTAATAGAAACAACTGTTGGAAATATCATTATAATGTATCTCTCCACTGTTTACAATGCAAAGATTGTCCACATGTACCATGCGCAGATACACTAGAATAACCTAACCCATGTTTTCATCGCGACTAACATACAACAGAAAATAGTGTCACCGATTACACACATCTGTATTTTTAATGTTACTTATTTCTAAACAACAATTAATAGACAACACAACAATACACAAAAGAAGTAGTAATAACGTTAGCGGGTTAATTCACGCTGATCTCGCATCATGCTCACGTTCCCGTTATTATATTATCTGTTTTCTGCAGACAGTTTCTTCCAGTACACGACACCCTAACCGCATTATTTCGCGACGTTATACATGAACGGGTATGAAGCTTTCAGCTGAGTAACTCTTTCTAATTGAAGTAATCGATTCAACGGTACTGACCGAAGGTGTTTCATGTAATTTCAGGAGTGGTCACAACTGGTACCAACCGAAGAATGTCTATAGTTACTCGGACGTTCAACAGATCATCGGCTACGGACACTGAATCGCGCTAACGATCACTGTGCACGAGCGCTTATCACAGGACGCCCTTGCACTCCCTCAGCTACCCGTGGAATCTCGTCTATATGTCCGTGTTTTCGCCTCGGCAATCGTCATTATAGTGTGCCGTTGAGTATAGCAGCAGATGGCAGCGCACGGAAACGTGGTTTTCGTATGGGGGAATAACGCATTTAATGAGAAAAAATAACCTTTTGCGCAGCTGGATTTTGACGGACGATGACGCCCGCGTGTATTATAACCCGCAGCAAGTTAGGCGACGAATAGTTTTCATATTGTATTCGCTATATATCGTTGAAGTTCTTTTGTTTTGTAGAATGTAATCGTGAAGGGGTCGGATTGCATTCTCTAATCAGAAGCAGGTGGCAGTTGCAAACGGAAATCATATTGCGCAGTGATTAAAACCCGCCCGATGTTAACCAGTAGATGGCAGCACCAGCTACAGCGCCCGTGGGGTCTATGTACGTATCATCCCAGTTACCATGCTGATAACCAGCTGGGGACAACTTACGCTTATTTTACTGGAAGTCGTAATATTCTTGGTGAGACAAACAAGAAAAGGCGCGTGACATAAGTGGATGTATTTGATATGTTAGCTTTGCAATAACCCTAATGTTATATATCGCTTGAATGTAGAGGTTTGCCTTGCATCATATATCAAGCTATGGGTAAAGGAATAGTCGGAAGTGTTGTTGTTTCCGTAAAGGTTTAGATGCGGGTTTGCTAAAAAATAAAAAAATTCTAGTTTGGGTAAGCTAGTTTAAGTTTTTAAGTAATTTTTTTTTTAAAGTTAATAGCATATGTTGCAACGCTGTCGCATTGTGATCAGATCAGCCTTGCTAAATTCGATTATTAAATTTAAAGAAATAAATGCTTATAATAGTCTACACGTTAGCGAATGATGGATGCTTTCTAGTTTATTTGTCCCAGCAGCGTCTAACGTACCACCGATAATTTCAAATAATTTGATAAGGTTTGTCTATTGCAACACTTATAATAAATGATTCTCTGTTATCCTAAGCAACAGGGGAAGGTGGCATGTGCACATTTTCGAGCCAAGGTAACACCGGCTGATAAGACCTCCTCAAATCCAACTTCAATGGCTTTTAACATGAATAGCCCGGCCGCTCTAGAGACGACAGGCCTATAAAGTCGCGATGATGACGCAAAGCAAAGCAGGATGCATCATTCTCGGGCGCGCGCTTGGCGAAATGCCGAAAGCGGCTAACTACAACATCAAGTACACTTCACACGAGAGTGAGATGACAAAGCCCGACCCTTTGAATGGCGCCATTATGACCGACGTACATGCATACACACGGACGCAGAAGCGTCGGGTAGAGAAAGGGGGAGAGTAAAGAAGGGGGTGGAGAGGGAGGGGGGGGAGAGAAATAGCGAGAAATGGAGAGAAAAAAAAGAATGGTTTAGACGGGGTGATCGCAGATGGGAGACTGTATGCTCACCTCATCCATACAAGTTTCAACGCGGGCCATGCTGGGATACATCCGTGACCTCGACGAGCAATCGGCTTACCGTATAGGCACCGGTGGCACCGCCGGCGGCGCGACAATATAACTAATTAACGGGGCCGGCTATCTGCATGTAAAAGAGGCGCAATTTCACAATGACTGGCCATGAATGCGAATGACTTAACAGTACACAAAACACGAGCTGAGAGCGACAGGAATAGCACGTTCTCGACAGCGAGCCGGTCGCGGGACCGATGTAGTGGAATCCGCGGACAAACACGGATAATTGGCTAGCTTTGCGCACCCATACAAGTGCACTTCGCCATTGAAAGGCCCGTGAATTTGTCCGTTTGCGCCGTAAATGGAAATCCAGCGCGGCGCACCTGGGCGGATTTGGGCGGCCCTAATCGAGCCCGCTGCCGCGGTGTCAACGTGTGACTACGACTGCCGACGCACGCACGCACACGCAAACACTGCCGATAACACATTTACACTTCGCGTCTAGCGTAGAGGCATATAGTAGTGTAGCGTTTTGGATGCTAACGACAATGTATATAGTTAATGCGTAATAATAATAATAATAATAATAATAATGAATATACATGGAACTAAAATATATGCTGCATATATTAAATCAAGAGCAAATAAAAATTTAAAAAACGTTGAATATAATTGACGTGTGTTTTTATTTACTCCTCTACTACCCTACTACTTTATGTCCTTTACTACTTTTAATTCCTGATAAATTGTGGCCAAACAAGGTCGGGTAGGCTGCAATAACCTATGCTGTAATTGTAAGATATTTGTTTATGGAATTTGTTTAGTGTTATAACCTTGTCTTGTGCGTCGTTAGGAGCGAGAAAACCAATTTGAAAAAATTGCACATTCCCACGCCAATATTAGTATGTCAGCTAAAGCCGGTAAGCTTTCAACGCAATAATGCCTACTATAGCAAGATTATAGTTACTTGGTATAGTAAGCATTTTGCGCAGAAAACTTTGGACTTCATTCACAACTATATACAGCCACGTACAATGTAAATATAATCATGCCCTTCGATTAATTACGTCACGCGGCCAATATCTTCCTATGCATCGTCTGCGTGTCTATGAACGAGCACGCACTTACTCGAAGTGGTCACTGTCCCACACCCGTGCTTATTCCCATTACACGCTTCGGCTAGCCGTTAGTATTAATGCTGACCACGTGTTCATAATTTCGATTCAGTATAGTATTGGGCCGTAGGAGCGATTTTTAGGCCGACGTAGCTTAATTTCGATATCACATGCCTGCTTGTCGCCTCGGTCGCACGCAGTGTCAGAACGAGCTGCGTGCTCGGCGCCGAAAATTCCGGAGCCCCATAATAAAGCGGAGGCGGTGAATGCACGCAGGCAGTGGCATAAGCTGCGTTCACACGTATACACGGCTTAGCTGGTACCGTACTTAGTTGGTGCTAAGTCCAGAAAAACTGCGTTCACACGAAATACACGAGATTCGAGGCTTAGCTAGCGCGGTATAATATAGACTGGTACCCGGTCGACAGTTCCACACGCTACCTAACGTCGTGCAGCGAACGGGTAGCAGTCTAGGTTAGAGCGCTACAGTTTCGCAATTCACACGAACAATGCGTTCACAATGCGCACACGACAATCAATAATACCCGGCCAGCGTGGTGCCGAATATACGCGGCTTAGTTGGCGCGGAATATGATTCCGCGCTTCGCAAGCCGGAGCATTCGCGGCTAAGCAAGCCGTGGCTTAGCAAGCCGCGTATATTTTAGCGTGTGAACGCAACTTTTCTCCTCGTGTGAACGCAGCTATAGGCGCACAGCGGGACGTCCGTGGGGCGCGATGGCGCAGTCACACTAATGGCACGGCTGCATTCATACCCCGGCCCTCTCACCGGGGCGCGCGAAAACTGGTATTGGAACGCTCTCGCGCGAGTGTGGTGTGAAAAGTAACAAATCGCACAAAAGCCCCTTTACGACATCTACAGTAGAGTTGGCATGTACGGCTCGGGAAAAGCTGGGGGGCTGGAGCACATTTAATGGTGCACACACACACAACCAGTCTGCTGCACTCTTTGTACGTACACGTCCTTCTCTACACTGTTGTCGACGCATGGGGAGATAGCGCGGGCCAGTCTGAGCAATTTACACCTCTAAGCACGAGACAACACGACAGCTTCAAGACTGATGTGTAACTGCCGAATTGCGGCAGTTGCAAGAATCTGTTCTAGAGGTGTTGGGGAACAGTATAGCGTGTGCGTGTGTGTGTGTGTGTGTGGTTGGGTGGGGCTAAGATGCTGGTTTTGCATGGCATTCAGTGACAGAGTGTGTGTACAGTACAAGCATGGATGAAGTAGCGGTGGTCAACGTTCACATCCACAGCGGCGACACATCGAATATAATATCATGATGTTTTAGCCCAACCTTAACGATATACAGAATAAGTCAGAAAATATGAGCATGCCTGAATAAACGTTGAAAATACTTTTTAGCAGTAAATATTTATAAACAGATTAACAACTCGGAAAATTCCAAATATATTGATTCATTTGGACGATGTGAACTTTATTTACACGTTATCAACTATTGAAAATAAATTACAATCATAACAGCTTTGGCATATACAATATAATAACAGTTACCAAATATTTATCATTATTTACAGATTTACAAGTGATATACTACAATAATTCTAGAATTGTCAAATTCATTGGAGAATTTATATAATCGATATATATAGTCGTGTATAATCATGTGTCACAGACCAAAACATGATTATATATATTTTTTTCTCTGAATACACACCCACCTACCCCACCCACTTACATACGCATTCACATGCACATGCGCGAACGCATATATGTACTTACTTGTACTTTCTCTTACACGAACGCGCTCAGGCACACAAGCCGACGAATAACTCTGGCTTGTTATGGGTGATATCTTTACAATTTATCTCAAAGCTTTACCATGTCTCGCAAAACTTCATTATCAATATACTCGAATATCAATTCATAATGAATTTTCTCTCGTGAAGAGCACTTCACGTTCAATAACTACGGTTTATTTGCCATTTCAAAATAAATAGTATAGACCACGAATAGCGGATCTGTCGCCATCATTAAGTTGATAGCTATAATAGATATAATCTGAGATGACTTGTTTAATGCCATTTACTTACCACAGTTTATGCCGCGCTCATGCTGTAGTTTGCTTTGTGTAATTACAAGGCCTTGGTATTTGGATGAGCATGTAAATATTTTCTTCTATGATATGTAGTATATATGGTCATGGCCTTAACTATGTATTAAGTTCAGTAATAAACTACTGCAATGTGTTAGCTGTGAATGCTTATTGCGCGCATGCGTTCTTTTTCGGCTACAAGAACAAACTGTAGACGTTTGCCATACGTCAGAAATAAACAATCTATATCTTGTTTCCTGATTTTGTCACATCTGGATTCGCATGCGACCAATTCAAAAGAAGACACGTGTGCGTTACTGATGCCTGATGCTCTATGAATTCTGTTATTAATGTCATGTTATCACGTTTAGAAAATAATAATTGCTACATGAGCAAGCTGCGGCTGCAGTTAAAAGCGCCGGTTCCGTTTGTGGGGGTGCGTATACGTTGATGTGTATAGGTGTGCGCGCGTGTGCTCTTGAGTGCGTGCCTAAGCGCGTGCTTGCTCGTGCGTATGCGTGCGCGTACATGCGTGTGCGTATGAGTGTGCGCATGCTTGCGCGCGTGGGCTCGTGTGCGGGGGTGCGAGTATGCGTGTACGTCCTGTCGCACATCATCGCCGTGGGATATTTATCTCGTTTATAATACTAGACGTGAACAGAAGCAATCACTCCTGCTAGTACACCTATAAAAAAACATCGCCATCTAGCGACGATATGTATTAAGTGGATCCACAGAAAGAGGGCAGCACTGATCAATGTTGAGTTTCACAGCAGACAATTCTGTTAACTAACAATATACATGTTACAATATATATTATAGTGTTAGAAGGTTTTCAACATAACACAGTGTATTGCTGAAAGCTTCGTAACAATACATAGTCAAGATGAATCCGCATGATCAAGATAGATGGTGGGTTAAAGTGTCCCATCCGTAACTAACACCTAAATGTCTTAATTGTTCTAATAAAATGCTCTAAAAGTGAAGAAATCTTCTTTAAAAGTAATACCCACAAATTACCCCCAAACAAATTGGTTAAATACCCAATTCTTACATCGGAAATAGACAGAAACTATTGTTAGGAAATAATATTCCTGATTTGAAGTTAGAATCGTGATTTGAAAAAATATTCTTTTACTATTGAGGAGTGAGCGCCAGGTTCTATGTGCAGCCACAGATAAAACTGCTACTCTAAACTCTAGCTTTCAACACTACACTGTGTGATGTTGAACACCTTCTAGCA